TGTACGGTACAGCAGATATTTCTAGATAACTTTAGAACAATATTTTTGGAAGGAAGGGAAGGGACTGCTATTGTAAGAAAAAAGAGGGAAAGAAGAAAAATACAGAAAGATATAGTAATAAGACTATAAGAATATGCCATCTATTACCAAAAAAGAAAAGTATGAAAAAAAATGTAAAAAACCAGATCAACGAGGAGCCAGAAAATTCTTATAAACAGACTGCAGGAATCAGGAAGGTAATTAGGAAGAAAGTAATGCTTCAAGTAGCTTCAATCCACAACACTAAAAGCTTTTTGTTTGAGCATCAAATCTGCAATCATGGAACTCAAAAGGAACAGCTGAGCGATGGTCTAGGCACACAATAGCATACGTTAATCAGGCTGTATTTGGTTAAGTTCTGAATAGATTTAAGACAGTTCCATGTACAACATGTTAGACAAGTCCAGATGACTTCAGGATAATGTTGTGACTCTGCTTGTTTTGAAAGGGATTTAGGAGCCCAAAGTCATTTTTTTGGCCATAGCTTCATCCTGGATATTCAGACAAAAGTCAAGTTTTACCATCCCTTTTATACTGCATGCTTGGTCAACTGATGAATGGAAAGGGAAGTGGAGGAGGAAAATAGGCCATGTACTTAAATGTATAAAAGAGGATGAAAAAATTACTGACTGACCAGATAATGAAATGTCATTTTTAATTCTGCAAAACAGAAAATAAAGATATTGAATTGGAATGTAACAACCATTTCAGTTACTAGTAATCAATATTTATATAGTGGCTTTCAACGTGACTGGGACTGAATACATTCTTTCGCTTTTCAGCAACTCTGGATTTAGAAATCAGAAGACAGTCTGTAACTAATGCTACTATCAAGATGAACTTTCAGAAATTCACATTTTGCTAGCCAAATCCTTTATAATAATTCTGCAAGGCACGCTTTTTCCACCACTAGGCCTCTTGGTGGAAAATCTCAACCCGTTGGTCCTCATTACGAAGAAAACGGAGCAAAGGAAAGCGAGGAGCAGCAGCTCTCCAAACCTTCACTGAACTACAGCGATCAGCACCCCAGCCGCCACGGCCAATCGCGAGGAATGCCGGGAACTGCAGTTAATATAAAAGGCCACCGGTTGCCCTCCTCACCAGCAATTCAGCTTCCGGACCCCTCCGAGGCTCGTAGCCTTCGCTCGAGACAAAACCGCTTTACGGGTCAATTTCATGGTCTCGGCACGACCATCGGGCTTCTCGGGCCTCTTAGCAAAAGCTGGCGTGGGAACTTCCGACGCGTTTCCCAGGACGGCTCCAGGCGCAGGCGCCATCACCTCCATCCCATTCCCAGCGGAGCTCACAAGCTGGCAAAGAGAGGCGGAACCTAACTGTCTTCTCCCGCCCCCTCGCCGTCGCCACGCCTCTTAACGACGGCGCACAAGCCTCAGCAACGACTGCAGGGGCGAAGTCAGTTGTAGCGGGCCCGGGGGCGGAAGCGGGCAGGCGGGGGAGTTTGCTTTCTGTCGCAGTCGCGGCGTTGCTCGCTGCTTCACGGAGTGCCCTTCCACTGAAGTGTTACACGTCACAGCTTCCCATCTTACCTGGGCAGAAGATTGCTTGTTTCTCACAATCATTGTACCCCTGTTCGTTAACTATGTTTGTCTCCTGTCCTTCGGAGAGGGCTGATCGACGTTTGTGGATAGATCTCAGGTTTTCATTACTTGAATGCTTGCTTTTTTCCCGTATTTCTGCTCAACCTTTTCTCCCTGTATTAAAAATTAGCATACCTGGTTTCACCCCTTGGTGCTTTATCTTCTTAACACGCCTGTGTCGTAGCCTGGGGCAAGCAAATAGTGACAGTCTGCATGCAGCAGTTACTATGGATTGGTAGAAGCATAATTAACAAAAAATGTTAAGCTTCATGCATAAATAAGGTAAGTAGATGTCTTTGAGGAACGACATGGGTAAACTGCCCAACATCTAAGTGATGGATGGATGATGTGCCATCACGTCGTTTTTGACTCCTAATGACCACATAGATTTTCTCCAAGACGATCTATCCCTAACCTGTTTTTTCATGTCTCCCAATAGTGCACCCCTTGCCTCTGTAATTGACTCCATCCACCTTGCTGCTGGTCGTCCTCTTCTTCTCTTTCCTTCCACCTTTCCCAGCATTAGAGCCTTTTCCAGAGATCTGGGTCTTTGCATAATGTGTCCAAAGTAGGATAATTTGAGCCTGGTCATTTGTGCTTCGAGTGAGAACTCTGGGTTGATTTATCTGATAATCCGTTGGCTGTCCATAGTATTCTTAGGAGGAGAATTCTGTAGGAGTACTTTTCAACACAGTGTTTTGTAAGAGTCTTCTCTAACACCAGAGTTCAAAAGTGTCAATACTCTTCCTATCCTGCTCTTCAGAGTCCAACTTTCACTTCCATAGAGTGTCCCAGGGAATACCATGGCTTGCATGATTCTGATCTTTGTAGATGTAAACATATCATGGCATTTGAGTATCTTTTCCAAGACCTTCATGGCTGCTCTACCAAGTGCTAGTCTACAGCATATTTCTTGACTGCTTGTTCCTTTACCATTGATGGTTGATCCTAAAAGGCAGAAGCTATCCACCACTTTGATATCTTCATTGTCAGTTCTAAGGTTGGTTGTTCTACCAGTTGTCATTAATTTGGTCTTCTTTATATTTAATTTTAGCCCCACTTTTTCAACATGCTCTTTGACTTTTAGTACTAGGGCTTGCAGATCCTTTCCATGTTCAGCTATCAGGGTAGTGTCAGCCTAGTGCAGGTTATTGATATTTCTTCCTCCAATGTTAAAACCACACTCATCTTTTTCAGTCCAGCTTCCCTTAATATACATTCCACATATAGGTGAATAAATAAGGGGAGAGTATGTAGCCTTGTTGCAGCCCTTTGCCAACTGGGAGCCAGTCTGTTTCACCATGTTCTGTCCAGGCTGTGGCTTCCTGATCTGCATATAAGTTTCTCATGAGGACAATGAGATGTTCCAAGATTCCCATTTTTTTTAGCACATTCTGTAGCTTGACATGATCAACACAAAGGCTTTTCTTTAATCAATGAAACACATATTGACTTCTTTTGGGTATTCTTTGGCTTTTTCAATTATCCAACATGCATTGGCAATAATGTCTGGTGTTCCTTGGCCTTTTCTAAAGCCAGCCTGAACATCTGGCATCTCTTTTTTTATGTACGGCTCTAATTTGCATTGGATAATCCTAAGCATTATTTTGCTAGCATGTGAAATTAAAGATATTGTATGATAGTTTGCACACTTTTTTTTTGTGGTATTGGAATGTAGATTGACCTCTTCCAATTGGTTGGCCTCTGTGTCATCCTCCAGATTTGCTGGCATAGCTTAGTTAGAAACTTGACTGATTTTTCTTCTGTTGCTTGCCATATTTCAGTGGGTATTCCATCAGTTCCTGTAGCTTTCTGACTTGGTAATGACTGAAGCACTGATCCAACTTCCTCTTCTAGTACTAGAGGTGCTTATAAGTAAGGAATATCTTCCAAGATATTGTGGATGTTGACATCTCTACCATATAGTGTTTCACTATACTCATTCCACCTTTCATCTCCTTTGAATTGGTTACTATCTGTCCATTGGCATCCTTTAGAATACCAGTTTGAGGTTGGAACCTCCTTCTGAGTTCAGAGATCTTTTGATAGACTTTCCTTGTTTTTCCATGTTTGTTTCCATCCTCAGTGTCGTTACAGATGTTGTAATACTGCTTCTTGTCTCTTCTAATAGCTTTCTGAAACTTTGTTAAATTCGTTTCTGAGATTTTTGTCTTTCTTGGCTTTAGCTTCTCTTCTCTTCTCGGCAATTCCCAGAGTTTGTTCTGACATCCAGTTTGCTTTCTTCTCTTCCTTCATTTTTGGCAGTCTTTTTTCACATTCATCCTTAACAACTTCTTTAAGTCCATTCCACAGTTCCTCTGGTTCTCTATCAATGAGATTCATGACTTCGAAGCGATTCCTGATGTTCTTGAAAATGGTGGGTATATGTTCAAGATCATATTGTGGAAACTGACTGGCTTTCTTCTTCTTCTTTACCTTAACTTGGAGCTTGCACATGAACAGTTTGTGATCTGTTCCACAGTCAGCACCTGGCCATGTCTTTGCTGCTATAATTGAGCTCATCCACCTCCTTTTAGCAATAAGATAGTCAGCTTGATTTCTATATACTCCATCTGATGATGTCCATGTACAGAGGCATTGCTTTGGTTGTTTGACGACAGTGTTAGCTATGAAGAAATCTTTGGAGTGGCACAAATTGATAAGTCAGTCTCATGCTCCATTTTGGTTTCCTAAGACATACAGTCCAACTACATTTTCCTCTTTCATGTCTCCAGGTTTGGCATTCCGGTCACCAATCACAAGCAGCGCATCTTGCTTGCATGTTCTGTCGAATTTGAATTGTAGTTGATCATAGAAGTCATCAACCTCCTCTTCTTCTGCATCAGTGGTTGGAGCATAAACTTGAATGATCATCATATTAAAGGGTTGTCCGCAAAGTCTAATCAATATTATTTGGTCACTGATTGCATTGTAGCCAAGTACTGTTCTTGCTATACCCTTCCTAACTACAAAAGCAACACCATTTCTTCTTTGTTTTTCATGTCCTAAGTAATAAAAGGTGTGATCTTCTGACTGAAAGTGTCCAATCCCAGTCCATCTCAATTTGCTGATGCCTAAGTTGTCAATTTGTAGTCATTTCATCTTTCATTGTTGAGCCTTCCTGGGTTCATGTTTCTTATGTTCCACATTCCTACATTCCACGTTCCAAGTAATTCTCTTTGTAGCTTTGGATTTTCTTTTCCTGTATGGCAACATCAGCAAGTATACGTCCCAAAGGCTTTAATCTAGCCATGTCATAAGCACCCTTAGTACTCCAAAAGATCCTCAGCTCTTCCTCAATAACATGTTTAGTGCCATCCAACCTGAGGGGCCCATCATCCGGCACCACATTGTCAATCATTTTATATTTTCTATCTATGTGGTTTTCTTGGTAAAAATACAGGAGTGGTTTACCATTGCCTTCTCCCACATAGTATGAATTGACGCCTTTGCCACTGTAACTAAAATGATAATCTACCTCCAACATCTTCCTATATCGCTGCTATCCAGTATAGGTGCCTGCTTGCCTTAGCTGGGCAACTGGGATGACCTTCATGCCTTGGGTGATTCTGCTGGGAGTATATACTCTTGGCATACACTCCCAACACTCTTTGCTTATCCCTTGCAGGAACACACATACACCTTGCCATGATGAGGCTGCACAGCAGGACTTCCGGGGGTGGGGGCAACGTCTAATATATGTCTCTAATGTATATCCCACTTTCCTCCATCAGTCTAAACAGCATACATAGGAATTTCCATTTTTTATCAGCACCACAGAAACCTTTGAAATAGGATGAGTTGAGAGTGTGACTGACCCAGTAACTTGCCGTGGCTGACAGCAAGCTTGAATCTTGGTTTTTCCACCAAGTCCAACACTTTAACTGTTACAGTACACAATACTGGTGTGACTATACAAATAAACACATAAATCCCTCTAAAGATTCAGAGATTGAGGGGGTTTATTCATTAACCTTGCAATTGGCTGCACTGGTGCTAATTAAGCTACAAGGTGAATTACACAAGTTCTTAAATTAGTAAAACAAAAAATGAACAAAACAATTGCAGCATTAAAACAATTGCAGCATTAAAAATTTTTATCATTGCTAGCTGAGTTTCTTAATGTCTCATACGGGAAATCTCTGCACATGTCAGTGTTCTTTCCTTCCATCCTCAAGATGGAAGGAAAGTTTGTCCACGTGACAGCTACTACTGCCACAGTTATCCTCTTACTGTACTTCAGGAACAGGATTGATGAGGTTGGTGCCTTGATATGGGATGGCAGTTAGGGAAGGGGATCCTTTGTCTGCTGCCTGCCTCTCTTCTCCCACTGCCTTCCCTGCTCCTTTCTCCCCTTACTTCCACACTTGCTAGAGAACACCAGCCCCAAGAGTACTCCATCACTGCCACTCCCAGGCCAAGCATGGACCCCTCTGAGTGTTGGTTACAGTTGCTGCTGTCAGGGAGGTCAAGAGAGAAAAATA